ATGGGAGGCTATTTCAAGTGAAAGCTTAGCAGGGTGATCTCCACATAGATCGATCACTTTTCAGAAGGATCCACACATAACTCTTCCAGTGATTTTGTCCATTCTGTCAAGTTTTGACTATTGGATTGGTCTGGAAAGTAGTAAGAATTCAAATTCCAAACTAAAATACTACACGGAATGGGTAAATTCGAAATGAAAACCGTCTAAGAGGTGTACAGTGTTGTTGAAATTCGGCGGTGCTTGGCTTAGAGGAGGATATGGCCCTTCCGCTGTTTCCTTTTGTTATTAATTCGTGTCGAATAACAGGTCCTACCTTGGTGAGACTTGTCAACTGCTGGGAAGCTATGAACGGTGCGGGTGAAAGCGCCCTGTGTGGAGCTTAGCAGAGTACCATTTGATGCCCCGAAAAGCTAAACTGCCCTAAAATTCTATCAGTAATCGTCATACATAATCCCCATCCTCAGTACACGTAGCAATACGATCAAAAAGTGATCGTTATCTGCTGCATAGGAGCCGAGCGGAGGAGGTCTCGAACCCACAATCCTTCTGGTCCTGACTCTCTTCGTGTGGCGCCCACATATCAAGCTTCTTCCGCTTTGCGACATCCTCATACGGATTACAAACTGCTCTGCTGTTCTGCTTGGAACATTGAATTTCGAGGAAATGTCTTTCGCGTACAGGGATTCTTAGTGGTGGTCACAGTACTTTTTTTTGCCAACATCCGATGGCTGCTCACCACGCTCACTACCGCGAGGTTCATGGCGGTACGAAATTTCTGCCAAACCACAAGTGCGTTATAGGTTCAGTCGCCGTTCCAGGGTTGAACGCTTCGTTGATATCGTTCCCACATTTGTAGGTCGGATGATTAAGTATCTCTTTGCAGACGGCCGAACCGCTGATAATTCTATGTAGTTCAGCACATCCGAGGGCAAAAAATGAATAGCAGGCGAGGTCGCGCGTTCGCAGCAAGACTCATTTGACTCAACGTGGCAGTCTTTTAGCGTGTGAAGACAACTAGCTACAATACAGTGCTAGTTTGCAAGCATTACGGTGTTGGGATCTGAGCGAATTGAGTCTCTCTCCATCACTTTTCTCGGACAGGATGATTTCACCTGGATAATTTCTTTCGTCTCTCCAATTTCATGTGATATGTCGTGTCATGTAGGATCAATACGACTGACAGGACGGAATTCCGCGCCTCTGAGCAGGCGCTGCCTAGCGCCTTTTCCGAGGAAGGTGCCTTTATAAGGCTCTATCAAGCTGCAGCACACCGATCAAGACGCCCACCACGCCCGCTCCGCTGACAAATGGGCAACTATTACTATGTTCCGCATTGCTTCATTTGCGCGAAAGTGAGTATAAACGACAGTAAACTGATATGAAGCGGAGGTGAAGGCTGCATGGAATATGAGCTAACATATGCTCGGCAGTCGTGATCTACCGCTTAGCGGTTACAGAGCAAGATGATCCGGTAAACACTCGAATCCGATACGTTCCAGAGTTGTTTAAGAACGAAAGGCTTTTTCGCATGTTTTTGGACCGCTTTCACTTTGTTTTTTTTTTGGCCAATTCCCACTTTGTACACGCCTTGCTACATTCTCCCTGAGCGAGACCGAAATATATGCTGTGCAGATGCCTTTAAAGGCAGTTGGCCCGATAATTTGGTACGTAGCCCTAAATGCTAGCAGGGCGCTATCTGGTGGGAAAATGGCGAAAAAAAAGTGGGACGGTCGAAAACTGCGAAGAAAGGCCTTCGCTCTTGAAAAGCAATTTCGGACGAGTTTCCCGTAGGCATATTGCAGATAAGCGCTGCGGTAGGTACGGCTGCATGTATTTACTCATATATCCATTCAGCAGTGCAGCCGCTTCATACAAATCGCTTCGCTCCATATTTTGCCTAACAAATGCAAAACGAGCACTAGGTACGGTCGTCCATTTGTGGGCGGGCAGGCGTGATGGGTGTTTGGGTCGGTATGTTGTGGCTTGATAGGACATTTATAAGAGTACCTTTTCAGGAAAAATCGCTGCGCAGTGCCTGCTCAGGGTCGCGGGATTCCGCCCCGCCAGACGTATCAATCCTACTCGCCTTTAAGGATTTATCGTGCCAACTGCTTTTAAGAAGCCGAATTAAGTTGCGTTGATTTGTTGTTTGATTTATATGCCCTCAAAAATCAAAAATAACATCTGCTGATTTCTCTGTTGAAATAGAGTGCACATGAGTACTCCGAGGACGTCTGCGATGTTATCCAGCTGACATTCCTGTTTCCTGAGGGGTCCGAATAGAATGCAACGTGACTTGAAGAACTCAGCTTTCGTTTTCGGATCACGCAGAGATCCCTTCTCTTTTCTGTTTTCCATTGAACGTAGGTTTTCATTCTACCCATGTTTTTGCCCAGAAACAAGAAACATGGTTAGAATGAAAACCGGGAGCGTGAAGGAACGTTGTTATGCTAACTCTAAATGTAACTGTTGCTTATTGCTTGGACTGTTTTCGGTTCCAATTCGTATTTATTCGCGTTCTCTTACAGCACTTCGTGTCCATCCAGCCGCCCCTAGCATCGTTCATATTTTAATTCCCAATATTTTAGATGGCGCAGAAACCGCTGACTTATAAGCAGAAGTCAGGTATTGCATTCATAGAGCAGGATGATCCGCCATTCATCAAAGAAATGAAGAAGAAAATGGGTTACAAAGAGCCGCCGAAGCTCGAAGATAAGGTTAGTTTATCCTACATCATTAGATGTGAAGCTGTCAGTGCGGAAGAAATTGCATATGTGTTTTTTGTAGCCCCTTGTAGCGTTGCCTTTTTTATACACATCTGCGCCCTGCGCTCAAAGCAGTTCGTAGGGATTTTTTGGTCCGAAGTCCGGTCTGTAAGCTTGGGAGTTTGTCACCTTTTTGCGGCTACAGCTGTGAGAACGAGAGCATGTCGCCGTTGAAGAATGAAAGTAAACCAGCTGCAGGAGTTGCCTCGTCTGCTCCGAAGACGAGACCTATCAGAGAATTGACTGTTGTAGAGGTGTCATTGGTTCCTTGCTGGACCAAGGTGTACTCAACCTCGTCTTCCAGCTCTGACTTGTGCGGGAATGGCTATGAAAAATACACTTTCCTTTGAAATGGAACCCATTCATGTGAAAAACAATCCATTTCACAGAGGGCTTGCGTTTTTTGACTTCCTTTCAACATCAGTTCACTATGACAGTTACAGTGCAGTTCTCTGCGGACGGTGGGGCGGTCCTTAGGCCACGCTGGCTAGCAGCCCGATATTTGCCTGCTGGTCGAAAGCCGCAATAACCTTGCCCCTGCGTCTCTGACACTGACTCTGCGCTCTAACGCACGCCGCCGCACAATCTACCCACTCTCCCGTTCTGGACTCTCGCCGATCAATAATTGCCCCAGCAGCTGATTTTTGCGGCACTTTCGCAGTATTTTTCTCTACATTCGGCTTGAAAAAGCTGAGATTTCCTGACTCCAACATTACCAAAAAGGCGGTTCGCTATAAGAAGACGAGAACAAGACGCAGATTTGAGGACAGAATCCAAAGAAGGAGAAAAAAATAGTCAGCAGGGACACACCAATTTCAGGAGAATTAAGGGAACCACTCAGGCGACTTCGAGCTTCAAAAGAGAGTCAGAGATGGTTCTCGATAATAACGAGATCACATCTAAGACTCTACTTTGAAAACCCGGTCAATAACATAAAAGAAGTGGGGAAAATAAGGAAAAAGTTTGAAGCGATTGCCCGAAAAATGTAGAAGGAAAAATATGTTTTCTAGGGGAATTTCAAGCTAAATTCAAGCAAATTGTGATACAATTTTGATAAGAATACCCACCTTCAACGATTTGAAGCCGAAAGTCGAAAAATCTTCAGCTTTTTTCAAGCGTATATGGCAGGAATTCGGAGAAAATGCGGCAGGAATCAGCTGATCGACAGCGTCAGCCATTATCGATCGGCGAGAGTGCAGGACGGAAGAGTGAGTAGAGGGCGCGGCGGGGTGTGTTAGAGCGCAGAGTCAGTGTCAGAGACGGAGAGGCAATGATGATAATTTCCTACGATTTCTCGGCTTTCCATGGCACATCGAATCGGCGGCGAACTCTCGGCCGAGCGTGGTCGTTAGGGAACGCCCCACGTCCGATTGAGCGCTCACAGTTCCCTCGGTGGCGGACTCCGCCGCATTCCTGAGGTCCGTGAAAGGAGGTTTTCGTAGGCTGCACATGTTCAGTCGGGCTGAATTTTTCAGTTTTACTGCTTTGGATGCTCATTCAGTACCAAATACTTGCGAGGAGACCAATGCGAGGCTCTTGCGATCATAGAGGGCGGCAGGGCATCTGTCTGGCTGAAGGGGGAGACGGGCAAGAGAATCATAAATTACCTCTTCGTCGCGCGCGGCAGTGGGCGCGACGTTTCCTTAAGTTGCACTACGCTTTCTAATGGAGCATCGGATTTCCTGTAGAAAAGGACATGGTAGACACCTCTGTCTATTCTTGATCATACATTGTCTATTCTCGACCCAATGACACTGAACTCCGTGACATCATTAGCAGACGCGAAGCTCGCACGCGACGCCCACTGGCCGCGTGCGAATACGATTTCTCTTGCCACCTACCCAGCCGTTGCGAGCAGGTCTGGGAGACCAGTCAATGAAAACTTTATGGGAAGCGAATTTATTTGCGGGTTCGCCAGTTTCTTTTTTCCTGTTTTCGTTTTTACTGGAAAGCCACTAAGGATCGGTGAATACAGGAATAATGATTACTCATAGTAGCAGTCGCTAGGTATGCCTTTTGGTTTCCGGTTTTCCTTTCTGTATATGTATTATTTCGCCTAGACGTGTGTATCCGGTCAGCCAGACTATCTGTGAAGATACATGAGGGAAGCGCAGCGCGCTGGTGATGAAGCCACCGCCCCGCCCACTGGCTACGGCAACGTCCAGGTCTCAGGTGTTGCTGAAGGCTTCCTGGGTGGAGTTGTTTCTCTTACGTTTGTGTATCGTTTCCTGCTCTATCTTCTGTCATGGGAATCGTAGCGCCTGGGGCAAGTGATACATGACCGGCTGATGAATCTCTGAACAATCTTATATGGGGGAGGGGGAAAGACGTGACCATGATTCGTGGGGTGATAGGAACTGATGAGATCTGGTAAGTGGATTTTAGGTCAGGGTCCCTGAGTCCTTAGCGCGGGAGGTAGCAACAGAAAAGTGTTGGTTCAAAGAATGATGTAGTGATGGCCATTGAAAGTATTGCTGACGAGCCGTCGAAGTTATATCAACTGAGGGCGATTGAGTACGGTTTGCACAACGAGTGCAACTGGGTGTTGCCCACTAGTATTTCTATATGGGGCGGGGCGCCGCCGGCGGTCGCGCATAACTGTTCCCCATGCGAATATTGAGTAGTTTTGCTAATAATCTGTGTATCTGTCAGCAAAGGAGTGTTAAGAAGCCAATTAATATGCAACACCGATGGCGTGCCTTGGTATAGGGCATTGTCCACGTTACGGCTTGACGAAGGGGGTTGTCAGGGCAGTGACTTTGGCGCAGTGCGCAACCCGTCCCCCACCAGTTGTTGAAGCGAACAAATGGCCAAACTGTATCATATTTTCGTATAGCTCGTTTTCTACTAATTGCGGTTGCATAACCACTTCAACAACTGGCAAAGAACGGGTTTGGCCGCCGTGCTTACCTCGTACTGCCTGCACACCTTTCATTCACTCTGAGAGAGCTAGTGTATATTAGGTGCTGTAAAGGAATCGAAGTGTCCCCTGCAAAATCGGAACCGCTTAGTGTCAAAACTTATTCGGTCGCTGAGTTATACTCACTTCCAAGTAATGGTGGATGTTTGGCTGTTTGCAGAGAGAGACAGAAAGCGAGCGAGTTGGCCAATCTTTGGTAAGGGCTCTGTAGGCCTGTATAGGGAAGAATGGGTCTAGTGGATCAGGATACAAACATTTGATCTGTGGTAGCCCTCAGTACTTCAGACTCAACTATGGGAATGTATGGTGTGGCACTGTCAATCAACTTGTTTAGTACTTTGTTGGGATGTGGAAGTAAACACAGTTAAATAGAGTCGATCTAAATGTGTCAAAGCTCCAAGAGTGTCAATTAACTTCCTTAACAAACATCTCGGAGCCCATACTGCTACGTGGGGCGAGGCCAGACTGCACGTAGGCAGCTCCTAAGCCACGATTGGAGCAAATGATAGCTCACTTGCAGTTCTAGCGAATCTTGCTAGCCTTGGAGATTTTACGAGCTTTGTTGTGCTGGAGTTCAGACAAGTTCTGGAAGTGTTAGGAATGTGTGTGAGTTAATCTCTTGAATTTGCCAGCAAACATCTGAAAGCACCCAACTGCTGCAATTCTGGCCGATGTGCTACTCCAGCTGCTAAGATTCTTTCGAGTTTTGTGGTTTGTTCAGTGATGTAGAAAGTTGTCGAGAAAACGGAGCCTGTTTTCATTTCATTCTCTTTCCTAACAGTTCACCGTAGGTCGTAGAAATGACGAATGTCAATACAATGAGTGACATTCAGATACATATGTGATTGTAACGCATTCCTTTTAGTTTGAAGGCGAAGGTCCATCTGACTTCGATGATGCGCAGACGGAACTGCTCAGGATGAAGGAAGAAGACCGACCACAAGTAAGCCTCATCTTCTTTTTACCTGTATTATTCAAAATCAGGTAAGATTAAATTAACCACCCGTCCAAGGAGAAAGGAATGATGTTAAGGAAATGGTTATGGGCACTGTATTTGGAACCAGGGTGGAAATGCAGATCGCTGTCTTGCAATACCCCATAATCCAGGGTGTTCGGTTAATTCCCTTGAAGATTTCGAATCGCCTTATGATCAGTATGCTAGCTGATTATTACATTGCTTGAGTTAGTCTTTTAAAACATGGGTTCATGAAAATAATGCGGGCATTAGAATCCCTATCTCTCCAGTCAGGCTGATTTAGAGTAGTTCTACCTGAAACTACCGTTATTGCATTAAGGAGGTACTGCAGTGCCTTGGAAAGTGTTTCCGACTATTTGGAAAAGAAATACTCAGTCCTTCATGTGTATTTTCTGTGTTTCTTTAGCATTTTACCTGTGCTTAATGTTAAGGCTTTGGAGGTAGCACAGCGTTAAGTACAGCGCTTGTACAAGTAAAATTTGATGTTTTGTTTGTTTTTAGGTCGTTGTACTCGATCCAGAAACGGACTTGTCACGCGAGGAAATGAATAAAGAACTGATATCCAAGCAAAAAGAAGAAGACGGTGGGTCTATTTCACTAACTCACACTCTGAAACTAATTTGGACATTCTGAGAATTTGTACGGGGATTTTTCACTGAATATACCATTTTCACTTTGAAAACCAAATTCACCCTTTTTCAAACCAAATTCACCCTTTTTCAAACCAAATTCACCCCTTTTCAAACCAAATTCACCCTCACTTTTCACATCAAATTAACCACACTTATTAGGGCGGGCAACTCATCAACCAGATCACGCCAGACATCACTGCGAGCCCCGCCCCGACGGCCACGCCCACTTGTCAGCGCGGACATAGATTCTCAAATCTTGTTTCATAACTTCTGCTTTTGCTGTTTCCCACAAACACTTGGAAACGACCGGGCATTGACACATGGCCGACTCCGCCCATTCTCTAAAGGGTTTGGCAATCTAGGCTGACCACGCCCACTTGCTTTTCGCGGACTTTCGATATTTTTTCAAAATTTTTGCATTTTAGGGCTGCTGCGTGAAGCCCGCCCACTGTGAGAGGCTCCGCCCACTTTGAAGAAGCCCCGCCCACTTTTCAAAAATGGTGCAGATCGGCAGTATAGAGCCTTGGCTTGCATGCTAGGGTATTGCTGATCATTCGGAATAAACTTTGCCGGATTTTCTTGTTCCGAGTGACGAACGAGACCCTAGCATGCAAGCCAAGTCTCTATACTGCCGATTTGCACCATTTTTGAAAAGTGGGCGGGGCTTCTTCAAAGTGGGCGGAGCCTCTCACAGTGGGCGGGGCTTCACGCAGCAGCCCTAAAATGCAAAAATTTTGAAAAAATATCGAAAGTCGCGAAAAGCAAGTGGGCGTGGTCAGCCTAGATTGCCAAACCCTTTAGAGAATGGGCGGAGTCGGCCATGTGTCAATGCCCGGTCGTTTCCAGTCAAAGTGTTTGTGGGAAACAGCAAAAGCAGAAGTTATGAAACAAGATTTGAGAATCTATGTCCGCGCTGACAAGTGGGCGTGGCCGTCGGGGCGGGGCTCGCAGTGATGTCTGGCGTGATCTGGTTGATGAGTTGCCCGCCCTAATAAGTGTGGTTAATTTGATGTGAAAAGTGAGGGTGAATTTGGTTTGAAAAGGGGTGAATTTGGTTTGAAAAAGGGTGAATTTGGTTTGAAAAAGGGTGAATTTGGTTTGAAAAAGGGTGAATTTGGTTTGAAAAAGGGTGAATTTAAAGTGAAAATGGTATATATCAGGGCTGAATGTTTGTGGACATTTCAAACAGCTACCACTGTATGCTGGAACTATCGCGCACCGTCGCTTCCGAAATTGAGAGCTTTTCCCTGTCAAGCTAAACAACAAAAAGGAACAAGTGAAAGGCAGCCTAGGGGGATAATGGGCTCTGTTGAGCACGGCAGAGATATGGGCGGTAGCATCGGATGGGTTGTGGAAGTCACGGTTGGATAACAAAGAATGTGCGCATTTAAGTAGCCTTCCTGTGGAAGTCACAGAACACTACCGCATTCTACTGGCTAATAAACTGATTAAAGCAAATTAATTACAAAAGTTGACTCAAGCCTGTAGAAGTCTGTATCGAAGAGTAGGTTTTGACGTAAGGTTTGCGGGGCAGTTTATGAGCTCTGTGTTTTTTTTTCACCTAGGCGCCCACCATCCACTCATATGCCAAGCCTTTCGACCGTTGTATAGGAAAGGGTAAAACGCTTCCTGTTCAAAAATAGCTGTGGTATGTAATGCATAGCGACGAAGAGTGAAGATAGGTCCCTTTCTAGGATAGGAACAGTTGAACGTACCCTTGAGCAGACGCACTTGTTTGTTCTTGGAACCGCTTCGGCCAGTAAATTTTCAGTGGCAGAATAGCACTCCAAAGTTTCTTCACCGTGCGTGCGATAATGGCCATTTCATTTTACAAAGGTCTTCTGTATGATGTCGCGCGTTGGAAGTACGAAGGGATTTCTCCATTACTCCCGACCTTTGGAAGTAGGAGAAAATAAAAGTTTTCCAGTCTTCGCAGTATTGAGCTCCCGGCAATCGCCCGCGCTTGAAGTACCTATTAAAGCCTATTTGTGTGGACCCGCTAAGCAATGATTGAGGAACAATTTTCGGAATTGATATCTCTGAGCATCGGTATTGTGCACCTCATTTTGAGCGCAGATTTGAGTTGGAACGTCGACCTTCCTAAAATGACTTGTTGACATGAAATTTTTATTTTGTTTATTGTTTTTTACGTGTCCTACAGGATCGACATCACGATATTTCAGACAAGAAGATTGCCGAGGGCAAAATTACGTTCAAAAAGCCAGTCAAGAGATCTACCACTGCAGATGGTAAAGAGGACGTAGAGGAGAAGAAAAAGAAGAAAGAAGAGGTTAAGCAGCCGAATAGCCGGTTATTGTCGTTTGGGGATGATGAGGAGGAAGACGAATAACTTATGATAGGCTACTTTTCGAAAGAAAAGTAAAGCGCCAATAACTTATTTGTAAATACCTCACTGTTCATAGTTTTCATGAGTGTCCCTTTGTCCAGTTGAAAGCATGAAGCCGTTTACGTTTCTGTCTTATTTATTTGAAGTGACTCATTCGTTATCACACAAAAAATCACATCAAAAAAATGAAGTATCCATGCGGAATAGTGTTAATGATTTTAATCATTCTGGGAATACTGGATTTAGCTTCAGTTGAGTGGGTTAAGTTTTTTCGATGCCTATTTCTGTGCTGTGATCTGCTGTAGCATATTTTACCTACAACGGCCCATGTAAGCATATTCTCCCATTGACATTTCGCGATGAATGGGATGTGGAGCGTTTCTTTTCCCAGCCGCGGAATCCTAGCACGAGTTAACTAAAAGGCAAATTCCGCGATAAACCAAAGCTGTAAGCCTCAGATGTGTTAGATGAGGCAGTAGGTGGTTGTAGAGGCAACATACACTAAAAAAGTGAAAAATCGCAAAATTCCTGTGGAAGCTGAACATTCAGGCCCATGATCTCCCCTTAAAGGCAGCGCCCGCGTTCAAATTTGATGAGTATGCGGCTCAGGTAGTAATAGCAAGGTAGCAAGAAACCTATTAGTGAAGAAAAATCAAAAAGAAAACATGCAAAATGCCCTATAAGGAGTTTCGGAAGAGCGT